CTGCAGAGTTCCCCCAACAGGCCATGCAGCACCATGCGTCCACCGTGGGAACACCCAAGTCACACGACACTTACCTGTGAGGCCCGGCCTCCAAACGTGAAATAATAACTCACCCCCCTCTCTTATGGGTCCTCCTGACCCCTAGCTACCACTACATGAAGTGTCCCAGCACGACTAGGAGGGCCTACCTACACCAATATACAATGCCAGATCCCCCAAAAGTCTCCCTCTTGAGAGGAAGCCCAAAAGTCACTCAATGTCTTCTTCAGGTCCAGATTCCAGGTGTGAGTACCTCTCACTCTCTACTCCCTCTCACTCACTCTAGTCGGCCTCCTTTGTGTCTCGCCACTCCAACCAATCACTCAAATAACCTGGTCAGGTGTAATGTCGACCCTGCATGGCCTAACCAAATGACGGCAAGCACCCACTATACCTCGCTGCCCCTATTAACCTAACCTCCAACCCTAATCCGAGGTTAGTTAGTCCTAACTAACTTGGAATTAGGGTTAGGGTGACTAAACACCTCTCATCAGCAAGTAAGTCCACTCTGATACCAAATGTTACGATCCTGGCCAGTTCCGAAGTGCAAACAGTCCACTCTGATACCAAATGTTACGATCCTGGCCAGTTCCGAAGTGCAAACACACAAGGAAATACAATGCCATCCAATTGCAAAACGAAATGAATGAATTTGAGAGGAGAGAGACAACGGAAGAAGAAGAAGAAGATGATGATGATTTACACCACCAAAGACCGATGACAAATCCCCCTTCTCTCGCCACTCAACTCCTCCTCCTTATCTTCCCAATCTTATTCTTCACCAAATAATAATAATAACAATGAATGGTGAGCCAGAACCAATATCCGAAGTTCCCTCTTACTGTCGGCACCATATGAGGTCCACCATAGCCATGGCCTCCACCTTCCTCCACTTCAACCAGACGATGGCTATAGCAGACTACTAGGGGCCCTGCCCCGATGTTCGAAAGACAACGCAAAAGGGGCTGCAATAAACTCAGGTCATAGACATACAGCTGCGGGCTAGGGTCGTCACTTTCGGTCAAAGGACAGAAACAAGGGCCAAAAAGCCACGTCCCAAGACTGAGAAATGTCTGAGAGAGGGCCAAGGGTAAGGGGGTATCAATGCCCGAGTCAGAACAATAGCCAGTTAACTCTTGGAAAATCATGGGTCAGACCAAGCACAGGAAAAGCAGGCCCAAAGTCAAAGTCAACCCATAGTCAGCCTTGGCCATAGATCACATGCACATCAATGGTTGTCTGCAGGTATCTGGAGGATTCCAATCCCGACTTGGAAAAGTTACCGCTGCTTCAAGACTGCATCTAGGCCGTTGGGATTGGCCAAATCTGAAGCGTCAACACCATCAAAGGGGAGACTGGTCCCCACCAGTCAAGCACTGGTTAACGCTACAAAAGGTCAGTTAGACCACTGGGGAAGGCATTCTGCCTTGCGCTGGCTCGATGCTAATGCTGCTACGTGAGGCTGCCAGAGTGAGACACTGGCGCCAAAAACCGCTGGAGGGAGCCAGCGTAGAGGGAGATTATGTTGGTGTGGCCATAGCCGCCATAGCTGTAGACTAGGTGCTGGGAACTGGCGAGGAGGAGGAGGATCTTGGCTGTAAGACTGACGAGAGCTGAGGGGAAGCTTACCCGGAACTTACCTGGCATTGACACGTGTGAACTGCTGCTTGTCTCCATGAAGGTGAGGAAGTGTGGCGCCATCCTCCATATCTTAGTGCTGACGTGAGGGGAGGATGGGTGCCCTGTGATGATCTGCACAGTGATTATGTCAGAGGACGTCAGAGGGAACATGCATTGCTGAGCTCGTGATAGGGGAGAAGCCCAAAGTGGGAGTGGGAGAGAGAGGGAGACATACATGTACTATTGATCATTACTAAGACTCTCCTCCTCTTCTTCTTTGCCTTCCTTCTCCCCTTTCTCTTCACTCGTGCTCTTATTTGATGAGACGATCTCTTGAATTGTGCATATGATTGACACATGAACTTGTAAGTGATTTTGGAGACTTCATGAGGTGCGCTGGGATCAGACTTCTATTGTATTGCTGATAGGCTTCTCAATGAAACTGAGATCACTACAATTTCGTATCAGAGAGTTCTCCACTTACCTCGCCGCCTGCTTATGTTGACAACGAGTGGGATGATGATGATGGCGAGTGGTATGATGACGATGACGAGTGCGATGATGATGATGGCGAGTGGGATGATGATGATGGCGAGTGGGATGATGATGATGACGAGTGGGATGACGATGATGATGATGTAGAATTGTCTGCCGTGGAGAAAGAAGCGGGGCATTTTGAAGACTGCTGCCGAGGAAATACTCTACTGACAAGAAGATACAAGTGCCATGAGGCAGTGTAGGCAGCTGACGTGGCACCACAGAGAGACTGGCGAGACCAACAGGGAGTGCTGACGGGCAAGTGGATATCCTGACGCGCCTCACATCCAGATGCTGACATGGACCTCTGCTGAGGTTGAAGGTTGACATTGCCTGCTGACGTGGCAGGCATTATTGTGCATGACCTGTTCACCTCTTGCTGATGTGACACACTGCCAGAGGCAGGCACCACAGCTGACATGGTGGACCTCCTTGAAGACGTGGCAGGCATTTATTGCTTGCAGGGCTGGAAGCCATTGCTGATGTGTTATGCCGATGCTGACCTCACAGCGAGCTAACGTGGCATAGCTGGGGAAAAGAGTGCCTTGCATGTGTGGAACCAGACTGGCAGTATGCCATGCGGAAGATGCTGTAGTGTCACGCATCTGGACACCTGCCTGGCGAGATACACATCTGTGAAGAGAGAGAAGCAGCAGCAGCTAACATCGCTTGTATCGTGGATGTGCTATTGTTGCCAATAATTGCATATTGCATACTTACCTGACGTGAGCTGTTGTTCTGGTGTATATTGCAGACTAATGTTGGTGTTGTGTCTTGATCCCACTGTCCGTGGCATAGGACTGCCCTGCACACTCTATTGAATAAGAACGTTGTCAGTCATAACTAGCAGGTATAGAATTAGAAAATAGCAGAAATTGAAAATCGTTATTTGGAATTCCTGAGTCTTTATGTATTTTTATTTCTTTATTTCTTGCTGTAATCTTTGAAAATTTGTCTGAGGCTGAGGCTGTGGAATTCACTTCGGATTATTCCGGTTTTATTGTGCTGCATACTCGTCCGCAAACATGGCTTACCTATGGAAGTGTTTGCGCGCATCCATCCTGACAAGAAGCTGCACCAGGAATGAAAGTGAATTACCTTCCCAAACTTATAACCTCGATGCTTCTTGATCAAAGCACCATTATTGTGTCCCAATACATAGACAACGTAAAATGTTACTTCAGAACAAAGGAAGGGAAAAGAAGTCACCTTCCTTGTAGAAATAACTTACCATTTGATTTGATGCTGGGCATGGATTGGCACGAGGAAGCTGACCCGAAAGT